CATCATAGGAGCCTCTCTGCTCCTATGATGCTGCTTGGCCTGCTGTGTTCATCCAGCCCTGCACCATGTTAGAGGGGAGACCTTGTTTAGAATCTGTTTGTGTTTTAGCTTGGAGTCGGACTGGTTTTATTTCTAAAATAGGAATTTATAAAACGCCACATTGTCTGATTGTCAATAAATTATGTGATATTTGAACAAAATAGAACATATCTGCAAATACAAACGCACCCCACAGATTTACGTGTGTGAGAGAGAGAGAGAGAGAGAGAGAGAGAGAAAGAAAAAAAAAGGAAAAAAGGGCAAGAAAAAAAGAAAGAAAATAGAAAGAGACAGAGTGTGTACACATGCACGTGTGAGACAGTAATTGTTCAAATCATATAAAAGCTGCAGCAGTACATGCAGTTTTGGAGAGTACAAACGTTAATCCTAAAATGTCTCAGAGAAAATCAATGCTGCTATTCTGTTATTAAAAAAGGTAGAAGTGTTGGAAATAGTCTGCAGATCAAACAGCACCTATACAGAGAAACAGAGCGAATGTTTCATGACAAGATTATATACAAGATGATATCAGAGGAGTGAGCTATTGAATCCCTCAAGCCTGCTCTGCAATTCAGTAAGGTCGTGGTTGATCTGGTTGTAGCCTCAAGTCTGCTTTCTCACCTACCCCTGATAACCTCATATCATTGTTAGTCAAGAATCCGTCTACTTCTGCCTAGAAGCATTATAAATGGTGTTGCTCTGGGAAAGAGGGAGCTCCAAAGGCTGGTGACCCTCGCAGAAAATATTCTCATTTTATTATGGAAAGCTCTCCATTTTTAACCCGAATACATGTTAATTGCTTCTTTCCACAGATACTGCCTGACATGTCTGATCATTTAAGACTTTTTTGTTTGTATTTCAGAATTCCAGTGTTTGTTTATTTTTGCTTTTGTAAAAGCTTGTCAGAGGCACTAAAAATCTTAGTAAAGTTCTAATGAAGACGTAAAATGTTCTTTTCTCCCACAAAAGCAGCTCAAATATCTCAACTTAAAGTTTCTGGGTTTTGAATTCGATTAGAGGTCACATTTGTCCGCTACGATGACAGAATTTGTTCGTGTGCGCCAGAGACAGCACAATTAAAGCTCTTAGTTCAAAATCAAAGTTGATGCAACACCTAGGTAATATTACATACCCTCAATTGTTTTTCTTAATCTGCACTTACAGCGAAGTAATACATTTTAGAATGACAGTACAGAACCTGATCACACTTGCATTTCACCAAATGAGTCCAACTCAGACTCTTCAAAATCGAGGAGGTGTGCACTCCCAGAGGCTACGAGATTATACATATCTTAAAAAGTAACCACACATTCTTGCAACGTTTAAATAAGCACTGAATAAGTATTGATGTCAAACTAGAAATCCAATGAACCTTCCTCCACACTTTGTCAAAATAGACTGGCAATGCAATGAAGGTAGGCTGCTTTCCTTGCCTCACACATATTTATTACACTTGATTAAAAAAGTACAGGACTCCAGGGAACCCTGCTCCACCCTTTAAGCCAGAATGAATATCGCTGCTTTCTGTTGTGTGTCACTCAGCCAATTTTGAATCCTTACAAAACATAGAAACCAGGGATTAGTAATCAGCCATTTGGCCCATCAAGTCTGCTCCACCATTCAGTAAGGTCACTGCTAATCAGTTTTGGCTTTTAACTTCCAAATTTCTAACGACTGCTAATAACCTCTGAAACCTGTGCCAAACAAAAATCTAATTTTGCGTTAATAATACTCAACGACCCTGCCTCCCCTGCTTTCTGAGGTAGAGAGTTCTGAAATCTAAAGTATCTATATGCTGCTGCTGTCTCGCTTATTCCATGAGTTCTAACACTGGTGGCAAGTGTACTTTGCAATATTTAATCAAACACTTTTGGAAATCCATGTATATGACATGAACTGCATCGCCCTCAGTAGTCATCAATCTCACGTTAACTAAAAAAAAATCAAATTTAGATAACGATCATTTTCTGAAGAAGGGTCTAGGCCCGAAACGTCAGCCTTCCTGCTCGGCCTGCTGTGTACATCCAGCTCTACACCTTGTTATCTCAAATTTAGATAAGTATGATTTGCCCTCCACAAATCTTGTTTTTCTTTAATTAACCCATGATCATCAGAAAGACTTATTTTGTCACAGACTATCATTTCTAAAATCTTTTTTAACACCAAGGTTTGAATCAACAGCCCTGTAGTTGCTGGGTTTAGAGATGTAACTATTTTTGAATGAGGTTGTGACATTTGGAATTGTACAGTGCTCCGTCACCACCCACATTCCCCCATCCCCTGTCCTTGTATCTAAAGGAGCACCAGAAACTTATGGCCAATGCCTCTGCAGTTTCCACCATTACATCTCTCAGCTTCCACAGATGCAACCCATCCAGCCCTGGTGGCTCCAACCTTAAAATAAAGCTAGCCTTGTTTATGCATCCTCCTCATCAATTTTTAGTCCACCTGGTGTCTCAATGACCACCTCGTTCAACATGAAGAGGACCATAGCTCTACCCCTGAGCAATGGATTAAAACTGTAGATGTAAAAAATCCATGTAAATAGTGGCATGCACCAACATTATACAATTAGCCCACTGTGCCTCACTCAACAGTTTCAAAAAAAAAACTGAAGCAAACATTTCTTACCAAGTGTCCTTCACCACGTGCTTTATTCTGTAATGCTTCCCGCTTTCGTTGCCAAAATTCTTCTACTTGCTTTGCCCTTTCTGCAGCTGCATAGCCTCGCTGCCTGGAAAAATAGATAGCAAGACTTCAAACAAATAAACACTTTCACAAGAAGCTTTTTTTAAAATTTGGAGTTCTCCAGAATTGCAAATAAACAGAAATGCCCTCACACTTGTAGCAGTTCAAGTACAAACAAACACTTGCATGAAAAGTAAATGAATGTCATGGAAATTGTCAGCCAGGTTGTTCACAAAGTTACAACAACATTTTTTTAAAAAATAGAGTGCCATGGTGTTAGTCTTGATGTAGATTAAACTGGAAAGAGGAGGAGGATTCCTTATGAAAAAACTCCCTACTCCATTAGCTGAATTATAACAATTCAAGAAACCAAGTGTTTTTTTCCAAACTAAACCCGATATTGATTTACTGTTATCTTTAATGGAATATATTCCAGCCATAGCCCTTTAACAAGGTAGGTGGCTGGATGACATAACTGCACACATTTATATAATGAATAATGAACAGACTTCAATTTTAGTGAGGCTGTGGGGGTCGATTCCACGGAGTTTCAGGGACTGCTCGACTTCTAAAAGCAAAAATTTTTAAATCATAAGATCCTGAGGGGTCTTGACAGGGTGGATGTGGAGATATTTCCTCTTATGGGAGAGTCCAGAACTAGGATTTAAAAATAGTCACCCATTTAAAACAGAGATGAGGAGAAATATTTTCACAAAGGGTTGAAAGTTTTTGGAACTCTGGTTCCACTGCCTTTTTAGGAAGAGAGTCTTTGAATATTTTGAAGGTAGAGTTGGAGGGCTTGTTAATAAGGAAGAGGATCAAAGGTTATCAAGGTTTGCACGAGGTTAATTTGTTGATCAGATGGCAGAGCAAGATCCAGCGTTCAAATGGCCTGCTCTTGCTCCTCGTTCGTATGTTTGTGTGTTCAAATACAACAGATGTGCAAAATGTTTATGGGTAATTGACCATTTGTAAATGTTTTGAGTTTCTCCCTTAATGCACAGTTCACACAGAATTCAAGTTCAGCATTGATACTCTCATGTCAACAGTATCAAGTGTAACTCAATCAACCATCCATTAGTCTAATAGGAAATATTCTGGTCTTGGAGGTGATGCATCAGAATTTGGAAATCCCACCTGCAAAAACCACACTTCATGATCTCCAAATCAAATATAGACTAACAGACATGGCCATTGGCTTAGAAACACTTACAGTGCATTTTCCAAATAAGCTGCTGGCATAAGGAGCAGGTGAGAGATTGGCATAGTAAGGTGCCATAAAGCAAGAAGCTCATCCTCTTAACTGATGATTATTGACCAGCATGACAAGGTATCTGGCTTCACCTGCGCTAAACTGCAAGTCAATACATCACTAATGTGAGCCTTTTAGCTCTGGTCGGAGGAGGAAAAGTGTGAAGAGACACAAGTAAGGCAGGTAATCTGTAGGCATCCAGCTACATGCTAAGTGAGTTTGTGTTTCATGTGTTCTTGATCAGATCCACTGACGTCAAGCCAGTGTTCTTCTCTGATCACTGCTTTCTGCAGGCCAACCAACAGGCCAGCAAGGGAACGTAAAAACTGAATGTGAAACTGTTGACCCCTGAACACATTGAGGAGCTCAAAGAGAATGACAAGTTGGAGAACCAAGAAGTCCCTCTTCAAATCTCCAACAGGCTGGTGGGAAACAGTCATGGGGGACATTAAGAGGTTCTTGATCCTCAAAAGGTGTTCAGAAGGTAAGAGAAAGACAGGGAAAACTGTTCAAATTCCAGAAAAGCATGCAGAACCTACTCCTGCTGCACATGATGGGGGTCGATGTCATGGAGGATCTCCAGGAGGTAAACAGGCAGCAAACCTCACTCTGTGCCTCAGAGGCCTCCAAGATAATTTTTGGGTCCGGGGTCCGCATCGTGCAGCTGGATGAAACGTGCTTGCATTTCTTCTTCCAGAAGGTGCAGAGGGGGAGTTCTGTGATCAGCAACCTGAAGGAAGAAGGAGGCTCAGTAACGTCATCTCAAGTCTGACATCCTGAGGATCCGCAAATCCTTTTATGCCGCACTGTATGACATGAAGCCCACAGACAGCATGGTTGTATTTAACTCTGTGGGACTTGATTGGCCAGGACCTGCTGGAGGTGTATGACAGTATGCTTCTGGCAGGTAGCATGTGCGAATCCATGAGGAAAGGTAACATGACTCATCTGCCAGCCGAAGTGAAACAGGGAGGAAATTAGAAATTGACGAATAATTTCTCTGCTGAATGCAATTACAAAATCAAAAGGTCATTGCCAACTGGGCCAGGTCTGCTCTGGGATTGGTGATTCACCCCAACCAAACCTGTGCTGTGCTGAGCAGGAGATCTGAGAGCCTCACACTCCTCAGGGATATGATTGCCTACATTCAGGGCAGGGTCGGGGTGGACGCCTGCCTCATCAGCCTGGACCAGGAGAAGGCCTTTGACAGGATATTACACAGCTACATGTGGGACGCGCTCTCAAAAATGGGCTTTGGGAAGGGAATCCACAAGTGGATCCAACTGCTCTACTTCAACATCGTTAGTGCAGTCTCAATCAATGGATGGGAATCAGAAAGCTTCCTGGTTAGATCTGGAGTCAGGCAGGTCTGCCCACTCTCTCCTGCCTTGTGTGTGTGTGTTGTATAGAACCTTTTACTGAATACATCAGGAAGGATGCCAGCCTGACGGGGTGACTATTCCAGTGAGTGGAGGCCTGCAGGTCAAAGCCTCCCCTGTACATGGATGATGCCATCGTTTTCTACTCAGATCTGCTATCGGTGCGCAGACTCATGGGCATCTGCAACCACTTCGAACTGACATCAGCGCCAAGGTAAACAGAGGCAAAAGCGAGGCCATGTTCTTTGAAAACCGGGCTGACCGATCCTTTATCCCCTTCACTGTCAGGACAGATTACCTGAAGATGCTGGGAATATGGTTTGGAGGAGCTGGGGCGTACGCAAAAACTTGGGATGAGTGCATCACCAAGATGAGGCAGAAACTGGGCTTTAGGGAACACTGCTCCCTCTCCATTGGGGGTAAAAACCTGGTCATCAGGTGTGAGGCACTCTCTGTTGTTGCATGTGGCACAGGTTTGGCCCATTTCCAGAACCTGTGCCGCTGCAGTCACCCAAACCATCTTCCACTTCATCTGAAAGTTGGAGGTCTAAGAATGGCCACGTCTGTGGGGAGATCATGTACAAAGTTCTGGATGGGGCGTGGGGTTTGGGGGCATAACATACCCAGTACTGGCCTCATTCAGATGGCCACTTTTGTGTTGGCTACATCAGGCTGTGCATTGACGCTCAGTATGAAAACACCAAGAGTTACTATATACTGAAGTTCTCCCTATCCCTGGTGTAGCAACGGATGGGACTACCCTCATGGTTGCAAAATGCTCCAAGTAGTTGGACCGTTTCGTATGAACTGTCCTTTGTGGATAAATTTGCAAAGAGAAACACCTTTGAGCTCAAGTCCATCAGAAAGTGGTCAGCACATAGTGTTCTTGAGACCCAATGGGAAAAGGAGAGGGCGGATCCTGATGGGTTGTTCCCAGAGTAGACTGTCAAAGTCATTTGGTAGAATGCCTCACCACCAGAGCTTTCACAAGCACCAAGACATCGCTTGGCTGATACTGAGAAGGGCTCTACCTGCGAGATCCTTAATGTACGGCCAGAATCTCTGCGCCACCACACGCTGCCCTCGAAGCGGCTGTGGGAGGTAAAGACGGTCACATCTCCTTCTGCAATGTGCCTTTGCTAAGGAAGCCTGGAGAAAGATGCAATGGTTTTTGTTGAGTTTTGTCCCAAGCAGCTTCGTGACGCACGACTCTGTGCTCTACGGTCTGTTCCCTAGGGGACACACCAAGAAAAACATCAACTGTGTCTAGGGGACAATCAACTTGGTGAAAGATGCTCTAAAACTTGCTGGTCTTCCAGAACAAAGAGTTGACCTCAAGTGTGTGTTACAGACTGACACATTCCAAGATTCAGGACAATGTGCTGAGCTTGGGGCAGTTGTGGGGAAAGACCACTGTCTAAGGTCTTTCTGCCCAAGTTAAATAGGGATCCATTCAGGTATCAGACCTTCCCAGTGTCTTAAATGTATGTAAATAGACTCTTGTAGAAGTAAGAAATGCCTTGGGTTTGTTTTATTCTACATATATAAAGACTGTGTACAGAATCAAACTGCTCTCAAGACTATGTAAGAGATTTTTATGAATAAAGTTTATTTTTGAAAGGTGCTAAGGTAAGTGCTAAGAGAGCAAGTGTACATCCCTCAGCTGCAGCCTGGTTCAGTCCATGAGCTGGGTGCCTGCTCCTATGCGCAAAGTGTCCTTGCAGCAGCATTGCACTGAGAGGCATCAATACGTTCCAAAGTGCAGCCTTAACATGCCGAAGCATACTGTACACGAATTGGACGTGTACTATGACGGTTCAGAAATAGGAAAAAAGTGCTGAATTCTCTGGTCATGGGGGTGTGAGCCGTTGATACCCATAGAGAGTGCCGAGATGGTAGTGCCTGGTGTCGAACATGAATATCCAGAGGATCAAGCAGCGAGCTACAGCAGTCAGTTATTAGTGCAGACTTTCATGCCAGAAAATCTCAGCTTTTAGTTTCTAACTGGCAGGTGGGAGAATAGGAAACTGCATATGAAGCAAGATGAGATAATAGGGCAACAATAAGCGACAGTTGTGGTTACAAGGTTTCTTGCCACTCACTGGTGAGAAACTTGTCTCGACATTCGGAATGTCACTGGAAAATGTAATTTGTTCTTGATGTTGAGAAAAGCCTCGCTCAATTGCTCACGCAAGCCTGTCAACTTTCTCACAATACCCCATGTTGTTCAGGACCTTCCATGCAACATCAGTCACTCAAAACAGGAGCGTTTCATGTTTGTGATTCATGTGGAGCTGAACTGCAAAGCATTTGCCAACTGAGTCATCCCAATCAAGTTTGTAACCCATGCTCATGTTCAAGGAATTAATTGATGCAGTGTCAGCAGAAGTATTACAAATATTAGCACTCTGAGAAAACGTGCTAAAGTTTGATCTCAATGACGGTTTGACAATTTCCAGTTAAATTTCAATAAGATTGAAAGCTGAAGCCTTACTCCAGGGAGCAAGTATATGGGCGAGAATGGTATCCATGTGCTGCTTTGAAAGAATGCTACATTATGGAAGGTGCCACCACTAATGTTTGACATTAAATGGCTATATTGTCTGTCTTTACGTGCTATTATTAAAAGTAAACTATGGCGTGCTCCATTATCCTAGACAAGGTTTCTCCCCTCACCCAACATCTTACCTATGACCAGATCAGGAGCTGGAACTGGTTACTTAGCCCTTCAAGCTTACTATGTCATTCAATGAAAGGTCTGATTGATCTGACTGCAACTTCAAATTCACATTCCATCCAGCCTGAAAACCTTTCAATCCCTTGCTTAATACATATCTACCTACCACTGCTTTATAAAAACTCAAGGACTCTGTTTCCACCACTGTTTCAGGACAGACATCCCAAAGACTCATTATCCTCAGGAACAAAAAACAAACCTAATCTCTGTTTTAAATGGGAGATTCTGATTTTTAAACAGTGACCCCTAAGTCTACACTATCCCATAACAGAATTAGCCCCTCCATATCTAACATGTTAAGGCCCTCAGGATTTTACATGTTTCAATCAAACCTATCATCATATGCTTCAAACATGTCTTATTGCTGTTTGCAGAATCTTGCTATTTGCAAATTGGTTCCGTATATGTTGACTTGGTCAGTCAACTGCCATTTAAAGCAACAATACACCCAAATGCGTATTTGAGCTATTTCTGAGATATGATGACAAATCAGAGGGAAAAAAAACTACAGATGCTAGAGATTTGAAACAAATAAAACAAAAAAGTTCTGGAGAAACTCAGCAGTTCTGGAGGCATCTGTGGGCAGAAAAGCAGAATTAACAGAATTAGCAGAGTCCCATGACCCTCGATCAGAACTCAGTCCTCTTTTTGTTTGTTAGAGAAATATAAACTTTTTACTAAAATATTACCCACCACAAGTCTTCACAATCAGTTCTGACACTGTTCAGAATAGTCTGCATTTAATCTCCATTATACAGGACTGAAAAATCACAAAAAAGTGTGACTTTTTCTAACTCAGAACCATCAACCTTTTGCTTGAAGTGCACGAATAGACAAAAGGTCTAATATCAAGCGGATTGCACCACCATTTTAACTCTTCTGCAAATGAAGGTATTTAAAATGGCCCCAATCTGCAATTTGCGTTAAAAAGGATTGCATTTTTAAAAGAATCATTTGAAAATGTAGTAGCTAACGGTTTTTATATTTGCAATATTTCCTATTCCTGGGGAATAGTAAAAAAAAAACTTCTCACACACTAACCTGTAAGAATTTGCTTGCTTGGCTACATTTTCAAGTCTCTTCACTTCTCTTCTGACAGCTTCAGCATCAGGCAGTTGGTGAAGACCTCCTGGTCCATTATGAAACACAGGACCAGCAGCTGCTGGCAATCCCCTGAAAAAGCCAGACAAATTGTTCTCTTTAGAGAAGGGGAAAATTCACGGGGAGACTGAACATAAGTATTTCAAATTATAAAGGTATTTTGATAGAGCAAGTTGGTGGGGGCGGGGGGAAGAGAGAAAGAGAGAGAGAGAGAGAGAGAGAGAGAGAGAGAGAGAGAGAGAGAGAGAGAAAAAGACTGTTTCTACTGTGAGATATTATTGACTTCACATGTTTAGCAAAATAATTTATGCAGATAAGAGGATAATTCCTAATACATTTCACCTCTGACAAAAGCTACTTAAGATCTGAACACAATGGCTAAAAGGATGGTGAAATTACAACGTTAAAAGACCATTCAGAGAAAGTAGGAACTGCTGATGCTGGAGTCTGAGATAACAAGGTGTAGAGCTGGATGAACGCAGCAGGCCAGGCAGCATCAGAGGAGCAGGAAAGCTGATGTTTCGGGTCTGGACCCTTCTTCAGAAGTGGGGGAGGGGAAGGGGACTATGAAATAAATAGAGAGGGGGGGGGAGGCGATGAAAGAAGGTGGATAGAGGAGCAGATAGGTGGAGAGAAGACGGACAGGTCAAGGAGGCGAGGATGGAGCCAGTAAAGGTGAGTGCAGGTAGGGAGTTAGGATGGGGGTTGGTCAGTTGGGAGGGAGGAGTGGGTAGGTGGGAGGGAAGACGGACAGGTTAAGGAGGCGAGGACGAGATGGGCTGGTCTTGGGATGAGGTCGGGGGTGGCGAGACCGCCACTTCCGCCACCTGCAATCTGACCCCACTACCAAGGACATTTTACCTTCCCCACCCCTATCTGCCTTCCGGAGAGACCGCTCTCTCCGTGACTCCCTCGTCCGTTCCACACTCCCCACTAGCCCCACCCCCCCTGGCACTATTCCCTGCAACCGCAGGACGTGCTACACCCGCCCCCTCCCCTCCCCCCCCCACCCCCATCCCAGGTCCCAAGAAAACCTTCCACATTAAACAGATGTTCACCTGCACATCTGCTAATGTGGTATATTGTATCCACTGTTCCCGATGTGGCCTCCTCTACACCAGGGAAACCAAGCGGAGGCTTGGAGACCGCTTTGTGGAGCACCTATGCTCGGTTCGTGACAAACGACTACACCTCCCAGTCGCGAACCACTTCAACTCCCCCTCCCACTGGTTGGACAACCTGTCCATCCTGCACCTCCTCCAGTGCCACAACAATGCCACCCAAAGGCTGGAGCAACAGCGCCTCATATTCCGCCTGGGAACCCTACAGCCCAATGGTCTCAAATGTGGACTTCACAAGCTTCAAAATCTCCCCGCCCCCCGACCTCATTCCAAGACCAAACCATCTCATCCTCGCCTCCTTGACCTGTCCTCTTCCCTCCCACCTACCCACCCCTCCCTCCCCACTGACCAACCCCCATCCCAACTCCCTACCTACACTCAACTGTACTGGCTCCATCCCCGCCCCCTTGACCTGTCCGACTTCTCTCTACCCATCTGCTCCTTTATCTACCTTCCATCTTCGCCTCTCCTTCTCCCTATTTACTTCAGAGTCCCCTTCCCCTCTCCCATTTCTGAAGAAGTGTCCAGACCCGAAACATCAGCTTTCGTGCTCCTCTGATGCCGCCTGGTCTGCTGTGTTCATCCAGCTCTACACCTTGTTATCTTATTTTAAAGACCATTGGTTATTTAGAATCATAGAAAAGATCAGCGCAAAGGGACATCATTCGACCTATTGAGATAACTAGGTGCAGAGCTGGATGAACACAGCAGGCCAAGCAGCATCAGAGGAGCAGGAAAGCTGACGTTTTGGGCCTAGACCCTTCTTCAGAAATGGTGTTCCTGCAGTTCCTACTATCTCTCATTCGACCTATTGAATAGTGTTAGTACTTCCAAAGAATACTTTAGTTAGCCCCAATTTCTTATTTTTCCACCATATCCCTGCAATCTTTTTACTTAGGAACTAGGACTAAGAGCAGGCAATTCAGCCCCTCGAGCCTGCTCTGCCAATTTATAGGATCATGGCTGATCTCATCTCAGCCTCATCTTCATTTCCTGCCCGCTCTCCATATAATCGCCTTCTTAAAATTTAGTGTCCCTGTATCCACCATGCTTTAGGGTAGTGAATTCCAAAGATTCACAACCCTTTGAGGAGTAATTACAAATTATTCATGTTTTAAATTTAATTTTTACATCTCTCAAACTATGACCTCGTTATAGATTACCCCATGAGGAAACATCCTTTTTACATCTATTCTGTCAATCTCCTTTAGCATCTTATATAGCTCAATTAGATCTCTCATTCTTCTGAGTTCCAGACAGTGTAGGCCTAAACTGCTCAATATTTCTTCATAAGACAAACACCTCATCTCTGGAATCAATCCAGAGATTGGAATCTCCTTTGAACAGCCTCAATGTAACTGCATCCCTCTTCAAGGAGACCAAAATTGTACGAAATACTCTATTAGTGCCTTGTACAGTTGCAGCAACACTTCCCTACTTTTATACACTATTCCTTCAGCAATATGCCAAAATTGCATTTGGCCTCCTTATTATTACCTGCTCATACTAATTTTCAGCAATTCATGCAAATTATTTATCTGCAACCTTAAATTAAGGCAGATGTTAAGCAATGAGGTTTATAAAATACAACAAAGGAGGATCAAGAAACTGATGAGGAAAGGGAGAATAGAATATGAATGCAATCTAGAAAAACATTAAACAAAAAAGGACTGTAAAAATCTTCTATACATATGTATGAACCTGGTTCACCAATGTCCCTTAAGGAAGGAAAATCTTCGAAACTTACCTGGTCTGACCTACATGCGATTCCAGACATACAGCAATGTAGCTGCTTCTCAACTCTCCTTTGGACAATTAGAGATGTGCAATAAATACTAGCCTACCAATAATACCCACAACCCATGAACAATTAAAAAAAATACTCACACTGGAAGGCTGTGACTAGTTGGGTACCACAAGGATCAGTGCTTGGGCCTCGGCTATTCACAAAATCTCTCAATGATGTGGAGCACAGTTTAAAAATAAAGGGGTATACCACTCAGGTCTAAGATAGCAGAAATAATTTTACTTAGAGGGTTGTTAACCTATGGAATGCTCTAATACAGAGGGTATGAAAGCTCAAATCTTTGATTAGGTTTATGGTAGAGACTGATAGATTTCTGATTGCAGTGGCATACAGTGTTCTGGGTGGTGGGTAAAAGGTATTGAAGTGTTCAATCAACTACGATCTCATTAAATGACAGACCAAGCTCGATGGCAGAATGGCCTACTCCTATTCCTACGTTTATAATATGATCATGTTGGCTTCAGAGCTAAAAGAATGGAGCACTTAATGTTATTTTTGAAGATTTTCACCAAATACATACTCAGAAAATGTTCCTGGAACATAACTGTCAAACAGAGGCATATAACATTAGAATTCTAGTCTTGGTAAACTTATTTTCAGATTATAAGCATTCATGAAGTCATACAGCATGGAAACAGACGCTTTGCACGCTGACCATGTTCCCAAATCAAACTGGTCCCAATTGCCTGCATTTGGCCCATATCCCCCCAAACCCTTCCTTTACATGTAACTGTGCAAATGTCCTTTAGATGTTGTAAATGTACCTACGTCCACCACTTCCTCTGGCAGTTCATTCCACATACGGAACATAGTTTGTATTAAAAAAAGTTGCCCCTCAGGTCCCTTTTAAACCATTTTCCCTCTTACTTTAAAAATATGCCCCCTTGTTTTGGATTCTCCCACTCGACGGAAAAGACCCTTGCTAGTCACCTGGTCGATGCCCCTCATGATTTGATAATCTCTACAAAGATCACCTCCCAACCTTCTACGCTCCGGTAGAAAAAAAAATGTCCCAACCTATTCAGCCTCTCCTTATAAGTGAGCATTGCATTCCCTGCAACATCCTGGTAAATCTTTTCTGAACCCTCTCCGATTTAATAATATCCTTCCTATAGCAGGGCGACCAGAACTGTACACAGTAATCCAGAAGAGGCCTCACCAACATCCTGTACAACTCAACGTGACATCCCAACTCTTATATACTCAAAAGATCCGAGCAATGAAGGAAAATGTGCTAAAACACCTTCTTAACCACCCAGTCTACATGTGATGCAAATTTCAAAGAATTATGTACCTGAACCCCAAGGTCTCGCTGTTCTACAACACTACCCAGGGCTCTGCCATTAATTATTTTCACCAGCCTTAATTGCCTTGGAGAAGGTAGCAGTTAGCTGCTTTTTTGAAGTGGTACAGTTGAGAACAGCATTGCAGGATTTTGACCAAGCAACATTCAAGGGATGGAAATGTTTTTCTGAGTCTGGATGCTGTGATGCAGAGGGAACCTGTAGGTGGCAGTGTTCCTTGAAAGGTGGCACCTTGGTGAGTTGTTGCAGATGCTACATACTGCTGCCACAGTAGATTGGTGGATGGTGAGGAGGGTGAATGTTGAAGGTGGTAAATGGGGTGCCAAACAAGCAGACTCCTTTGTGCTGCCACCTAATGTTACCATGTTACCAAGTATCTTCACTGTTGCTGGAGCAATCATTCAGGCAAGTGGAGAGTATTCTATTGCACTCGTCACTTACGTTTTGTAGATGGCGAACTGGCAGTCGGGAGACAGGAGGGGAGTTTTTCACCTATAAATCCCCAGCCTCTGACTTGCTTGGTCCAGTTCAGTTGCTAGTCAATTGTAATGCCCAGAATGTTGATAGTGGGAGTTTCAGCAATGCTAATGCCACTGATTATTGAGGTCAAATGGTTGGATTCTCTCAAGTTGGAAATGGCCAGCATCTGCTACTTGTGAGGCATGAACATTACTGCCAGTTATCAGCCAAAGACTGGATATCATTTCGGTCTTGCTTCAAGTGAACACAAACAGAGGAATGCATATGCTGCTAAACAACATGCAATCATCATCAAACATGTTCAATTATTAACAAAGTTCCCCATTTCTGACCTTATAGATGAAAGGCCATTGATTAAAGCAGCTGAAGCTGTTGGGTCTAGGACATTGTACTGAGGAATTGACCTCCACCAACTACAAACAGTATGTTGGTTTTATCATCTCCTCCTCCTTAAACAATTGTAGAACAGTACAAGCAGAGCCTGGCAGATCGTTCTAACCAAAGGTTACAACTTGGAGGAACTTGCTGGTCAAAAGTAGATTTATTAGTTCACCTTTACCTGCCCCAGCTGCCACCAGTGGTGCATAAACCCAGGCAGAGTAGCAAATTAGGTGACTGGGAAATATGGACAAAGAAAAGCAAGTCTCTCAGCAGCTTAAAAGAACATCAGTATCAGTCCCTTAAGTAAAAAACATTGTCAAGTTTTTATGGATAATTCAAATGAAATAGAATTATGTATATAAGGATATATTTCATTACAAATTTTAGTAAAAATATCCTTTAAAAATAGCATTATTCAACCCACATAATTGGATAATGTTTCTTTACACAGATCGCCCATAGCATTACTTGAGTACTTCCCTTGGAAAAAAATCTAATTTTTAGGGGTATGGGAAAAATGTTAGGTGTTGGACTTAAATTGACATGGCTTTCCAATGCATGCAGGTTGAATGTTCTTCTTTTGCATTATAGAAGTTTATAATTGTCCACCTTAGACATTTCTGCCGATCCTTCTCTCAATCAAAATTCAGTGGGAGTTCTATTTGTTTCAAAGTAGGAGAATGATGAACAAGATGCTCTTTAATCTATGAGCAATCTATTAATACATTTTAAATTCTCTCGTGAAGTGATTCAACTGGTAACAGTCTTCAATCATACTACATTCAGACCTGTATTAGTACATCAGCTAATACACTTTAATGCAGTTGGGAGGGAACTGTTATTGGAAATTCTTGGAAAATTCCATTGAACTAGCCTTCATTTCTCCTTCAATCATACTACTCAAAGCAGATTAATTCATCACCCATTTCATTACTGTTTGAAAGATTTTGAAGTGACCAAGTCAGCTGTCATATTTACCTGTGTAATATGAGACACCATATTCAAAGACATTCACTGCAAAAGAACCGGTTTATAATCATCCCAGGATGCAAAAGGGCACAGTACAAATGAAAAGGTATCTATTTTAAAAAATCATTCCATACCTTTGAAACTTCCCAAATAACATTAGCTTATATTCGACTGAATACTATTCACCTTTGGCCAAAAATGTATTTTACACAGTTTCCTCACCCAAGAAAGGGGGTATTTTGAACCCCTACCTTTCATCCAGTAGTGTGCCTCAAGGAATTAGGTGCAAAAGTACCTGAAAACAGGTTCTTTAGGTCGTGTCTCCATCTTCCACCTCATGTCTTTCTCCTCAAAGCCTTTAGTGTTTTCTTTCTGCTGCTGTTGGATTTGGTCAAGAATAGCATGGTAATGTTCATAGCGTTGCACACTGTTAAGTGCTGGTGCAGGTAAAATAGCTCCAGCACCTCCACCACCCCCTCCTCCACCCGAGAATGGAGCCTGCAAACAAAACATCTTCAAGTTAACTCTAAGCTGAACTGAACAACAGGCTGCTTCAAAAATGTATCCACAGGTTTTAAGATAATAACTTACAAAAGAAAACCGAGTACATGCATGAAAAACAGGAGACAGGCTTGAAATTTTGCACCTGATCTCCTGACTTTCCAAAGGCTGTTCACAATCTACAATGCACAAGTTTGAAGAGTGATGGAATACTTCCCACTTGCCTGGATGAGTGCAACTCAGATTAACACTTGAAACCAACCAGGACACAGCAGCCTGCTGAAATGGCACCTCATCCACTATCTTCAACATTCACTCCCTTTGCACAGATACATAGTGGCAGCAGTGTACACATCACTTGCAATATGCACTGCAAAAACTCACCAAGGCTTTACAACAACCCCTTCCAAACACACACCTTTCGCCACCTGGAAAGACAAGGACCACCACCACCTGTAAGCTCCCCTCCAAGCCTCATGCCATTCCAAATTGGAACTAAACCACTAGTCCATCACTATAAGTAGGTCAAAATCACGGAACCTCCTTCCTCAGAGTACTGTGGGTGCCCCTTCATCCTAAGGACCATAGCGGTTCAAGTATGCCATTCACTAACAGCTTCTTGAAAGCAATTAAGAAAGCTTTTTACAAAGTGAACCACTGTTGGCATTTTATCTCGTAAAGGTACCACTGTCCTGCCAATCGAGTAAAACTTAAATACATGTGCAAGCAAACTACCAGATTCAAAGTGGCAAATAGAAAAAAAATTCTTTTTCCACAGCTATCTTGACTTTGAGTACACATTAGTAATGTGGTAAGACAGGCTGTCACATTTGCAACTGGTCAAACGGAGACCATAAAAAATAGGAACAGGAGTAGGTTGTTTGGCCCCTTCAAGCCTGCTCTGCCTTTCAATAGAATCATGATTGATCCGACACTTTTCATATTCACTTTCGTACATTTCACCTGTAACCCTTGATTCCCTTACCGATCAAGAATGTATCTATCTCAGCCTTAAATATACACAAGGACTTTGCCCACACAGCTCTCTGTGGCAACAAATTCCAACGACTACCAACCCTGAGAGAAGAAATTCCTCCTCAACACAATCTTAAGTTGGTACCCCTTTATCCTGAGGCTATGTCCTTTGATCCTAAACTCTCCCATGAAGAGAAATATCCTCTTAGCACATACCCTGTCATCAAGCCCCTTAACTGCAAACATCAACTCAGGAAAAAAAAACGAGAATGAACACATGCTAGAATAATATAGCTATACCTTTTCAACTAATAAAAATATACAGTACATAAAGCAGTCTGAAATAATAAGTAGTGATAAATACAGCTGAACAAATTGAAATATATGTTATGTAAATATACCTTATGTTCGCCACTTCCCAAAGAACCACCCACACCCAGAACGTGCCTCCATCCTTGTTCTCTGGCTCGATTGATTCTTTCAACCTATATTTGGAAAAAAAAAATTAATTAAATACAATTCTTCTAAGAACACAGGGCAACCAGTGGAACATAAGTGCAATACGTGCAACTGCAGATGGTAAACAGAAGTACAAAACCACTGTTACAAGACAACTAATTGTAAGATGTCAGAAAGATAAATTGTTTTGTACATATACTGGTAGGGATTAGTGAAATTCAAATCACATCTTTCTCCTCCCACCCGGCCCACCAGGCCAAGTGCTAGAAAATAAGATGGATGATTGGTGATTGGCACAATGATGGGCCAAAGGGCCTCTTTCCGTGCTCTAAAAACTTCATGGTTCTCTCTATAACAGAAGACATCATTAAACACTTCCAGTGCAGGTGGCAAAGAACCTGGGCTTCCAGGTCCAGAGGTAGGTGATTCTGGCATACCATAAAAAAGTTTGGAGGGAAATAGGTCAGGAGAAAGAGGGTGGGGCTAGTTTAGTTTAAGATTATGTTCAGTATGGCCTGCTTGGACTGAAGGGTCTGTTTCCGCGCTATACGACTATAAGAGCCCCTCCCTCTATGTCAATAAGATTCACTCAAACTCTTTGGCAGCTTTGTTGGTGGTAATCTTAAACTTACAAGTCAAGTCGGCATAAGGAGAGGGGATGTGTTGGGTATTCTAAAAGGCATTAGGGTGGACAAGTCCCCAGGTCCAGATGGGATCTATCCCAGGTTACTGAGGGAAGCAAGAGAGGAAATAGCTGGGGCCTTAACGGATATCTTTGCAGCATCCTTGAGCACGGGTGAAATCCCGGAGGACTGGAGAATTGCTAATGTTGTCCCCTTATTTAAGAAGGGTAGCAAGGATAATCCAGGTAATTATAGACAGGTGAGCCTGACGTCAGTGGTGGGGAAGCTGCTGGAGAAGATACTGAGGGATAGGATCTATTTACATTTGGAAGAAAATGGGCTTATTAGTGATACGCAGCATGGTTTTGTGCAGGGAAGGTCATGTCTTACCAACTTGATAGAATTCTTTGAGGAAGTGACAAAGTTGATAGATGAGGGAAGGGCTGTGGATGTCATATACATGGACTTCAAGTAAGGCATTTGATAACGTTCCCCATGGTAGGCTGATGGAGAAAGTGAAGTCGCATGGGGTCCAGGGTGTACTAGCTAGATGGATAGAGAACTGGCTGGGCAACAGGAGACAGAGTTTGTAGTGGAAGGGAGTTTCTCAAAATGGAGAACTGTGACCAGTGGTGTTCCACAGGGATCCGTGTTAGGACCACTGTTGTTTGTGATATGCATAAATGATCTGGAGGAAGGTATAGATGGTCTGATTAGCAAGCTTGCAGAGGACACTAAGATTGGTGGAGCAGCAGTGAAGGGGACTGTCGGAGAATGCAACAGAATCTAGATAGATTGGAGAGTTGGGCGGAGAACTGTACGGTAAATGGAAAAGCCCTGGGGAAAACTGATGCACAGAGAGATCTGGGTGTTCAGGTCCATTGTACCCTGAAGGTGGCAACGCAGGTTGATAGAGTGGTCAAGAAGGAGTACAGCATGCTTTCATTTATCAGATGGGGTACTGAGTACAAGAGTTGGCAGGTCATGTCGCAGTTGTATAGGACTTCGGTGCGACCACATTTGGAATAACCTTGTAGAGGCTGTAGAGTTGGTTGAGTTGCATGCTGACTTATGTTGGCCAGATAAAGACTTATGTGGCTGGTACAGTGCAAACTTGATTACAGAATCTATTTGAATCATCCATCCAATGAGGGGTGCAAAAGTAAAGCATCATAATGGAGAGACCAGATTTAAAGAGAGAGATTCTTGGATAATGACTCATAAGTAGACAACATAAATTCAAGATTGCTGGAAGGAGGATAATTTTATCATTTTCCTCAAAAAAAAAGCCCGGTGGTCAGACATGGAATGACAAACTAGAAACTGACAGAAAAATAATTCATAATTCTTTTAAAAAAGAAATGTGGAAAAATTATTTTAAAAAAGGGAAATATCAAATTATGTGTATGTAAGGACTAGGAATTGGGTTAAGTGGATAGCACTTTCAGATCCCTGGGCATTTGGAATAGTGGAGTACATTACTAGAGCGATAAAAGCAAAAAGTTTTCACAATACACTTAGCTTTTAAGCTGCATCTCATAAAACATAGGAACATCATATATACGAACGCACCCGTTCTTTTTCCATTCGTCTCATCTGCTCAGCTTTCAGCAGATTTATCTGGAAAGAATGAAAGGTACAATTTACATCATTAATAACTGACTTTCATCTCTGAATTAGGTCTTAAAATGGAGAAGCAGAAGTAGCCATTTTGGCCAAATCTGCTCCGCTGTTCAATAAGATCATGGCTGATCTGATAATCCTCAACTCCACTTTCCTGCCTTTTCTTCATAGCCCTCGATTCCCTTCCTGATTAAAAATCTGTCCCTCTCAGCTTTGAATATACTTAATTATCCAGCCTTGACAGCCCCATGTGGTAATGATTTCCACAGACTAATCACATTGCAAGAGAAATAAATGCTCACCTGTATTAAATGGATAACCCATTACTCAAGTTAATGTCCTCTGGCCCTCAACTCTTCCACAAGGTGAAAACAATCTCTCTACATCTGCCCTCTCAAACTCCTTAAGACTCCTCTATGTTTTAATAAGATCTCATCTAATTCTTCTAAACTCTAATGAGTACAAGCCCAATCTATTCAAATTTCCTTTTATAAGAAAGTCCCTCCATACCTGCACTCAACCTAATGAACCTTCTCTGAAACGCCTCAAATATCAGTACATCTCTGCTTAGAGAAGGGACACAAGCTGTTCATAGTTTTCCAGGTATGATGTGACTAGTGCCTCGTATAGTTTTAGCAAAATGTCCTTATTGTTATACTCCATTCCCTTTGAAATAAAGGCCAATGGCCCAGTCACCTTCCCTATTTTCTGCTGAACATGTATGTTACCTTTTTGTGGCTCATGAACAAGGGTCCCTAAATTCCCCTGTGCTGTAGCTTTCTATAGTCTTTCTCCATTTAAATAGGCAGCTTGGAACCAAAAAAAAGTGTACTAAATGCTTATCAGGAAATGCTTCAGTTTGTTGGGAATCCCAGTATCTGCTGGATCACTTTCTAAGTCACTCTGTTGCCTAATCGATTTGAGGTTTTATGCAGACCAAGATTCCTGCAACATTCAAAATAATAAAGAAAATTTTCCAATAGTTCTAAAACTTTCAGTGGCATGGTAAAGGGAACAAAATTTTCCATCTATCTAACTAAATATTCATTCTTCTAGATTACAGAGTTTAAAATAAAATGATTCGTGCTTGATGTTAAAAACTCAAAGACCAAGTAGTAATTCAGCAGAAATTGGCCTAGCAAAGCTAAAGTACAAACATAAATGTTTTAACAACATTAGAAAATAATGCGTGTTATCTCATGTACAGTAACAATTGCAAATAAGTAAGCAGAAGAAAATTTGCATTCTTTCAATTTTGAAGATAGTTCACTCAGCCCTTCAACATCTTGGAAATACAGTTTTCAGGGATGCCTAAAACTAATTTTCTTATTGGTGCATGGTTGCAGTATGGTCTCATACTTATACTGTGGTGTGTTAGTTGCTTTCGTTTCATAATACACTTGTTACACCGACATATTAGCTGAATTTTCCATGTCCTGTGGAGGTGGGATCAAGAGTGAAGGCATATTTAATGCATCAATCTGGTTATGTGACATGTTTCCATCTCAGCAGCTGCAAGGAGACCCCTTCCACAAGGAGGGCCTGACAGATGTACCATTCAAGAGTTCAAATTCTCCTCATTTCTACAGAAAGCGGATCTATTTTAAATGGACATTCTTGGCATCCTGCCTGCCTCAGCAGTGCTCATTTATGCTGGCCAAACATTTAAGTGAGTCTTTGGATTGGGCATTCCACTGCTCTGGTTCTTCTCAAAACAGATGGGGCTGTCTGAGGTTGCTTCTTAAAATCGGCCACCTTCAAGAAGATCATGAATGACAATCCAATCCAGAACAGTAGTGGACATCAGGATTGCAACCCACTCAGGAAAATCGAATTCATTGTATCAAGGTGGGTACAGCAGGGACTCAAACCCAATTTTTTCACAAAGTCAACTCTCAACTTCGACAGTAATCACAAAGGAGAAGCAAAACAAAGTGCTGAGGCAGTTTACACTGAAGATAGAACCGGGGTAGCAGAAAAAAAAATCTGCACCTTAAGCAGTGACTTATTCATCCACAGGTAATCATGAACACTCACAAAATAGGCTGTCTTGTTACCTTTCTGACATGAAGAACCATGGGACAGTTAGAGTGGAGCAGTATAAAACTTAAGGTTTGGTCCACTTTTTAAAAAGGAACTGGAACTCATTTTAATCACATTACATTACAAATAAAAATACAAGCAATTTTGTGTGTCCTGTACAGGATCCTGGATGACCACAGACACCCATGAAAATCTGGGCACAAGTGGTAACCTTAGCCATACCTAATACATCCAATTCTCAAACTTTGCTGGGGGACCTACCTGTTCCCTTTGCTTTCTTTCTCGTTCAATGAGTTCCTGCTTTCTCTTTTTGGATGCTTCCTAAAATGAAATGTACAAGAGGACCATCAGCTTGATGTGGAATGCAGTGAAAATGGGTTATGAACAGAATCAGAGGGACAGGTTGAAAGAGTGCTTCCTGTGGCAGAAATGCCTTTTAAGCTGGTAAGAAAGAAAAAGGAAACATCAGAAAGAAATAAAAGGAGGAAAGGTTTGAAGGTTACAGCTTGGTTTCATACCATGAAGCGAAGATAGAAAGTCTGTCTTCAAAATGAGTAACATGTGTATCTTTCACTTAGATCAATATTCTTTACATATTAAGATAGTACCGGATTTAAGCAGAGGGGTGCAAGGGATTTTTCTTGCTTTGCCACTAAATCATGATGATGTGATGAAAAAAGGCAGAGAGAGGAAATCTCTTGCCCTTAACAGGACTGGTCAGTTTTACCCATTAAGTTCTAGGACTTCCAAATACTAGACAGATTGCATTACCAGAGGAAGTCTTTGACTTCCCCAATCTTCCATGGAAACTCTCAACTGACTGCATATACCTCAAACATTTTCCTCCTTTCTGCCACCGGATTCATTTTCTTCATTGGAGTGGGTGAAGCCTAGATAAAAAGTGAAATGCAAATTAGATGGCTTAATTGCAAATGAAAATGGCTTGAAGCACACTACTGTCTATAACAGCAGCTAAATGAAAAAGGATGCAGGTGTGGAGAAGGCAGTGGGAAGAGAAGGCCATGTAAACCACCAGCACTTCTTCAATAAATCTACAGCATTGTAATTGTTTCATTGTTTGTAAGCATCAAATTACGGATTAAATTGAATTAATTTTAACTGAACAAAATTAATCAGACGAAAAAAAAAGAAACAGGAGAATACAATTAATCTCCTCAAGCCATAACTTCAGTTACCTATCTTGGTTCCATAGCCTTATCTACCAGAAAACAGCAAATGTCAGTTCTAAATTTTCAGATTGCTTTTTTTGGAGAAATATTTCAGAAATAAATATTTTTTTGACCTTTATCCTTCTTTCTTTTTAATGCCTGCTTCCAAAAGGCATTCCACCTGTCAGCCTGGTTACTGAGGTTGAAAGACAATTACTCTCACCTAGACAATTTCTCCTATTTAACGATTCTCCATCGACTTAGTTTCATCTCTGTGAAGTTGTTTTACTTAATAGATCACTCATCCACAAATCAAAATTGAACATTTGAAACTGGCTATTAAATAATAAAGGGAAAGCAGAATTAATCCAGTAACTGAAGACATTTTTAGAAAATCTCTTCAATTAACACCTCATGCTAAGGAATGACTGTTGGAATAAAACTGTTGTACAGACAATGTAAAACAACTTGTACATTAATCATGTCTGCAATAGTTTTTTTTCAGAAATTCTGTTTGGTGGATTCTTGGACGATTAACAAGATGACTAGCCAATCACAAAGGATGATAGGACTTACTGTTTGCAATCCTCATCCTCTTCGCTGGCACTCATGTACAACTAGAAAATTATGCAGATGTATCTTCTCCCCCACCATTCCCATGTGCGAGGCAGCAATATTTTCATCTTTTACATATTTTCTGCTTTACAAAATTCATAAGCGAAGGCACAAACTTATTCCAACATAACTTTGAAAGCAATAAACAATGGCCTTATATTAACATAGATAAACTTTGGACAGCAAGCAGATGTATATTTGCTGACTTGTTGCAAATAACCCATAAATACGAATATGGCAAAATGTAGCTATAACTGAAGAGAATAAATTCATCAATGGAAAGCTGTCTAATAAGGAGTTTTTTTTGTACAGAATGCATTACAGCATAGTTATACCAGCTGCCTTAATATTTGCTGTACAAACCCACTCTCCAAAACAGGTTATTTTTACTATTCACAATCTGCAGTCCAATCATGTATGTACAGATTTGTTTGTCTAAAGGAAAATATTGAGACAGGAACCTAGTCAAAATGTACTTCCTTGGCTGTTGAGACAAACTTCTTTCCTAATCTTGCACTAGATCTCTGCATAATCATGAACTTTTAATATTCCAGCATCTAATGCATTGAGAATAATTATAGGATTTCAGCTGCGTTTTTAAAATCTGAATTTACTACATTATGCCAGAGTATTTTAGCTAATATTGCTAAAAGAAATACAGTCCATCATTTCATGCCTGTGCTGCCTCTTTACAAGGCCAATCCAAATCTAATTCAACTTCCTTGCTTTCTTCCCGCAGCCCTGTCTAGTCATCCGATTTAATTATTCCGCTGTCTTTTAAAGATGCACTGGCCACTGTTCCTCTTGTGGACTATTCCATATTCCAATATCTCTCTCTCAACCCCTCTGCTAATTCTAAATTGATAACTGCTCATTACTGAAACCCAGAGATTAAAACAAGTTTCCCTAATCACCAAATTCAAAATTTACCCTTAGTTGAGCACAGAAGCAAATGCCAACTTTCCAACACAATCTCTGGTTTTTTTCCCACTTATTTTACCGTCCTTTAAAGAAAGTTTGCATTCTAAGTGCTATGTGGTATTGCAGATTCACTGGGGCCAGTTTGCATATTTCATTTTGTTGATTGAGTTTTACTGATATTTTACATCTGCTGCGACCACTAGATTAAGCTACTCTGGCTATTTTAACAAACATTAATCCAAGCAAGATGAGTTAACCTCAAGCATCTTTATAAATTTAAACGTGAATGGTAAAACCCATTCCAATTTTCCATGCATTCAGAATTCATGAGGCAAGTTGTTTTATATTCTTGAACTATCACTGCTTAGATATTGGAATGTTGTGTTCTATGTTATTTGCAGTATAATATGTTAGAACAGACTTCTTTAAAAACATATTGTGTAGATTTCAGCATCCATCAGCCCTGCAAGGTTTAATCACAGCTGCATATGATCCCTGCACTACAGAGGGTGCCAACAAAGGGGTCAAAGCTTTCACAGAAGAAACTTCTGGAAAAAGGAGCAGAAAAAAGAACATAAAACATTACTTCAACAGAGATAGTAGGAACTGCCGATGCTGGAGAATCTGAGATAACAAGGTGTACAGCTGGATGAACACAGCAGGCCAAGCAGCATCAGAGGAGCAGGAAAGCTAACGTTTCAGGCCTAGATCCTTCTTCAGAAATGGGGGAGGGGAAGGGGGTTCTGAAATAAATAGGGAGAGAGGGGGAGGCAGATAGAAGATGGATAGAGGAGAAGATAGGTGGAGAGGAGACAGACAGGTCAAAGAGGCAGGGTTGGAGCCAGTAAAGGTGAGTGTAGGTGGGGAGTTAGGGAGGGGATAGGTCAGTCCAGGGAGGACAGACAGGTCAAGGAGGCGGGATGAGGCTAGTAGGTAGGAGATGGGGGTGGGGCTTGAGGTGGGAGGAGGGGATAGGCAGGAGGAAGGACAGGTTAGGGAGGCGGGGACAAGCTGGGCTGATTTTGGGATGCGGTCGGGGGAGGGGAGATTTTGAATCCAAAACCAGCCCAGCTCGTTCCCACCTCCCTAACCTGTCCTTCCTCCCACCTCAAGCCCC